GTGGGGTTTTCTTTTCCTTATCTGTGTTAGCTACAAGAATTAGGTGTCATTTTTGTAAATTTTCTAAAATTCCTAAAAGCATTTTCTAAAATAATCTAAAAGCGTTCCCATCGTATTCTGCCCTGATCCTGCCTCCCTGGGCTGCACGTTGCACAGAAACGGGCACTTTCATTTTGACGAGCCCCCGGCACTGCCCGATGGTTGCCTCACCGGGTCAGCCTTCCGCTCTGCCCGCTCCCCACGCTCCCTGGGGTTCACCTGCACACACATAGTTCCACTTGTTGTTGATATCCTGGGGGCCTAATGCCAGGGCTGTCCTATGATGAGAGGGTGGGTCACTGGCTGTCTGCCACTTGCTCCTTCCTCTCGGGGCCTCTCCAGGCAGGAGTCAGCCAGGTGGGGGTGGCTGCAAAGGGATGTGCCGGGTTCTGAGAATGCAAGCGCTATTTTTCTCTCTCCACCCACATCCAGATAACTAAAAAAAAAAAAAAAAAAAAAAAAAAAAAAAAAGGGAGGGTGGGAGAGAGGCTTCCAGAAATAGATACAGAAGGGCATTAATCTCGTGGGCGTCAGAGTCAGCCAGGAGATGGGGTTGGCTTTAAAGGAAGCCGTAGAGGGGACAAGGCCCCAGGATCGCCCTGCATCCCTCCTGCCTGGGCTGCCTCTTTGGTCTCCCGAGCGCGGCAAGGTCGGAAACATCAGGGACCTGGTGCCCAACCTCGCTGTGCTGCTCAGGAGCTATGTAAGTGAAAGTTAACTTGAGCTTCAGTTTCCCCACCTGTAAGATGTGCACAATGATTTCTATTCCACAGAAGTGCCACAAGAATCCAATGAGATGATTATGTTGAAATTATGCAATGGCTGCCGGATAAGTTAGTTTTTCCCCTGCACTTGTTTACTGACTTCTGCCTGTTCATGTCCTTCCCTTTCCATCTTTTCCTCCAGCGGATCGCAGCTTCCCTGCCTCCTCCTCCAGGAAGATCCCTGGTGTGGCTCACATCTCTGTTCTTCCATGTGGCTCAGTCTGGTTTTGCTCACCCAGGGAATTGTTATTTGATTTCTCTGGACTCACCTTTCCTACTCTGTAAAATGGGCACAGTAAGGAAGCCCCCACCATGAGTAGTTGCTGTGGGCTTTAAATAAATGGATGTAAAGTAACCAGAAAAGTGGCTGGTATGCTCACTCAGCATGTGTGTGTGTTTATAATTTGCCTTATTTTATATATATATATATATATATGTATGTGTATATATATACGTATATATATATACACATATATATATAGTTTTTTTTTGCTATTTTTGTCTGTGTCTGAGTCCTTGAGCTACCTCTAGCTCTTCTCTTTCTTTAGAACCACATTGTTCTTTTCCCTCTCATGCCTAGAATAGGCCTCTCTGCAATATTTTTATTGAATTAGCTTAAAAAAAAAGGATCTTGGGGAGACATCCAGTTCTGCTTTCTTGGAGCCAAAAGCCCTCCTCGCACACTCCCGCAGGCACGGTCCTGCCCCCAGCGATGTGGGCTCTCAGGATGGGGACGCAATGTGAAGACAGATAACCTTTGCCTGTGTGTGTGTGCTTTAGCATTTTAGCTGAGCTGTAATTTCACCGCCAGTGCACACAAAAGGCCAGAGAAAGAGCTCAGGGCTTTAAGCAATCTCTTAAGTGTAACAATAGGCAGCCACTGCCTCCAGGAGCTGGGCTGATGGGCAGAGATTGAGAACGCGGGATTCCTTGGCACGAGCTAGTGAAAAGTTTTTGAGAGCTGATCTTTAATTAATTCCTGTGCGTACATCTGGTCTCCTCGGTTGCTTGGTGAACACCTCGAGGGCATGGGCCACCACGCAGCGATGGTTTGGAGAACACCTTGCTGGCCTCCACGATTTTGAGATCCATGTGTTCATTCACTCAGTCCACAAACACCCTTCTGAGTCCCCGCCATGTGCCCCTTTCTCACAGAGCTTATATTCTGATGGGAAAAGGCACACGCACACATGACCGGATAAACAAGGTTGGCACATTTCCGAGCTCACCTCTGAACCCTGAACCAGCGTGCCACAAGTCAGAGCGCGAGGCCGGCAGGCTGTGTGAAAGTTTGGATTTTATTCTGAGCATCGTGGGGAGCCTTTGGAGGGCTTTAAGCAGGGAAGAGACCTGCTTGGACAAGGTCACCCTGGCTGCTGTGCAGAGAGGGCCATGGGGGATCCAGGGTCACCTTGAGGAGACAGGTGGAGAGAACCGTGGACATGGAGCAAGTGCAAGGACTTGGTGTATGTTTCAGCAGCAGCTCCCCTGGCACTTGGTCTGGATCATTCTCTGTTGTGGGGGGCTGTCCTGTGCATGGCAGGATGTTTAGCAACATCCCTGGTTGTTGGCCTTTACCTTCTAGCTGCCTGTAACACCTGCCTCCAGTGGTGACAACAGAAGTGTCTCTAGACATTGCCAGATGTCCCATGAGGGGCAAAATCGCCCCCAGCTGAGAAGCATGGCTTCAGAGCTGACGCAGAATGACTTGCTGGTGGACTGGATATAAGTGGGCAGGGATGGACATGGGACAGTGAGGCCGGGACAGGACTGAGGGCTGTTTCCTTTTAATCCTCACCTGTGGATATGTTTTTACAGAGAGGGAGAGGGAGAGGGAGAGGGAGAGGGAGAGAGAGAGAGAGAGAGAGAGAGAGAGAGAGAGAGAGAGAGAGAAGAAACATAGATCGGTTGCCTCCCCTATGTGCCCTGACTGGGAATCAAATCTGCAACTTTTTGGTGCATGAGACAATGCTCTAACCCACCGTGCCCCCCGGCAAGGGTGGCACTACCCATCAGTTCGGGGGCATGGGCAGCTGCATGGGGCGCCCGCCTCAGCCGCAATGACTCGGGCTGGAATTCCTCCGCGTGTCAGACCTTCACTCTCGTTCTCCGCAGCGGCCCCCCGCGCAGCTGCTCGCGGCGGCCTGGAGCTCCCGGCGGGGCTCCGCGGCGCGGGCTGTCTCCCGGAGCTCACGCAGAGCCAGCCGGGCGGCCCGCAGGGCACAGATGTGCTGTGGGTGCCGCCGAAGCTGGGCCTTGGCACGCTGCTCCCATACCCTTCCCACGCTGCCCAGCTGCTCCTTTCTGTGAAAACTGAATTCCTATTTCTAGAACATCCATCTTTAGCCTGCCCGGGGTCCCCGCACGCCTCCATTCAGCCCTGTTCCTAGACTCTGAGGTTGGCTCAATAATTATCTTCACACCAGGGATCCCCTAATTAGCTGGTACCCGCCTCCCACCCCCCTGCCCCCGGCCTTTCTCAAACAGGACTGAACAGAGAAAACTCCAGGGCCATTCTCTGGCTGTGACCCCTCCCCGCCTTGGTCTGAGCGGGGTTCCTGCCCTTGTAAAGAGCACTAACTCTTCCTTCAGGGGAGCGTCTGTTCTAACGCTCCAGGTTCACTCTTTAGTCCCCACCGCGACCCCAAAGTCACCCTTAACATCATCTCCTTTTACAGACGAGGACGAGGAAGCGGAGGCAGAGGCAGGCACGAAGAACTTGCCCCCGATCAATCACTAAGTGGGGTGCTTGGGCAGTGTGACTTCGTTTCGCTTTGGCCACCGAGGCCGCCTCTCCGGAGGGAGGCTGGGTGGGGTGGGGAGCCGCCCGCGGGCGCTGCACTTGCAGGAGCTGGGCGTGGAGGTGTGTGCCCGCAGGGGCCGCGCCCCGCTGAACGGCCTGGGGTGACTCAGCGGGGGGCTGCCAGCCCCGCCAGAGGCTTCTCTATGTCGCAGGTCTCAGCTGTGTGGGGCAGAGGAAGGGGCAGGCTTCCAGGGACAGCTGGGGAGCTGCAACCCTGAGACGGGGGCTTAGCAAGTCCTGAGGGGGCTGCCTGTCCGCCTCCTGGGGCTCGGGCCGCACCCCGGCCTCCGTGGGGCCAGGAGGGCCAGCCACATGTGAGCGCGAGCAGTTGGTACTTGGTGGGTGGAAAGCAGCACCGGGAGGAGAGAAATCGCAGGACGCGCAGATGTGGATGCACGTTGGGGGCGGGGGCGCAGGGTGGGGGCTAGGGGGGAGGGGCACGCGGGGAAGGAGGCCCCGGAAGGAGTCAAGGAGGCAGGCAGGGACGAACTCTGTCAAGGCTGACACTTGCTTTTAGGAGTGCGATTTTTGTCGTTTTAAATTCTTTTTTGAGGCTGATTCCCTCAAAAGTGTCGAGTTGTAAGATACTGGGTATGTTGGAAAGTTCCCCGTTTCATCCCCCGTTTTTTTGCACCCAGGAGTAAGGACAGGACGAGGGCTGCGGAAGCGAAAGAGGGTCACCGTCCTGAAGCTGGGTGCTTCGTGCAGCGAACAGGATGTGTGAGCAGCGCCTGTTTCTAGAGGCACTTCCCAAGATTGGAGCTGAATTCCTTCTGAAATCCTTCCAGTGAAGGGGCTAGCCCATCCTTGGACAATATCCTCTTCTGCGGGTGTGTGTCCCCTGCAGTTTGCGGGTGCAAGAGCCGTAAGCTCGACAGAGGCAGGGACCACGTGAGTCCTCCTCTCCCCTCACGACCCCAGTGCCTGGCGCGGCCCCTGCCCCAAGCAGCTGCCCCGGGAACAGCCGAGGAATGGATGAATGAATGGCCTACCACTACTCTATCCCAGTAACTGCTTGGATTTCAATTCAAAGTACAAAGTATTTTAAGAAAAAAATGGGGGGGGGGGGGAAGGTGGTGGTGAGAGGAAGTAGAAGAGTAAAGGGGGGATAAATGGCAATGTAAGGAGACTTTACTTGGGGTGGTGAACACAATACAATATACAGATGATGTGTTATAGAATTCTGTACCTGAAACTTACGTAATTTTATTAACCAATGTCACCCCAATCAATTCAACTTGAAAAATTAAAAAATCCAGCCAATCATATACATTGGGAAAAAAAAAAAAGTGAAGTAGAGTGTGTGTGCGGAAAGTGTCCAGAGTCAAGTTCTAGGAGATGAACTCCTGAAGAATAATTGGGACGCAACAAAGGATGCAAAGGAGACCGAGTACACTGAGGAATGATCGTTATATTTATTCGTACATAATTAATGTATCTAACAAAGCATGTCATGCAAACAAAGATAAGAGGTCATACGAATTGAGGAAAGCAATGCAGCAAGTTATACATTCATCTTGCCTGCTATAAACCCAATGTCTTTTGACAGCTGAGTGGCCTCTGCAATTGTCACTAGGTGCTTATTCAGAAGGAAAAACCTCCACCTCCATCTCTTCCTCTTCCTCCTTCATACACATTTGGGGTCTTATATTATGTTTTTCAATGAACAATTTAAACATGGCATGTCCTCCACACACACGCATGCGCGCACGTGAGCGCGCAACCACACACACACTATTATGTAGCAAAAGCAATGATTTCAAATGTTTCCGACCATCTATAAAAGTTATTCTGAAAGACCCTAACAGAAGGGATTTGAGGTGAATTTTTAGACCATTTAGACTTAAGAGAATAACTGCCTTCATTATGATTTTGAATAGTCCACTAATCCCCTCAAGAAAAGAGTCACATTCTTTCAGGAAGAGCATCGACAAAAATCTACAAACAATCACAGGAATAAATACTCCTAAAGTTCAGCAGAGGAGACAAAGACACAGTTGTTTGATCAGAAAATGCGAAGCCACCCTTTGTCTTATTTTAGAAAAAAAGATTCTTATAAAGTGGATTTGAGACTTATTTTTCTGAAAAAGTAGGGTTCCGTCTACTCACGTAAGAAGTAGCTCCGACATGGACACCGGTGGGCGAGCTTGCTGCCACCTCCTTTCTCAGGGATGTTGAAGTATATCTGAATTGCCCAGAAGGCAACACCCTTACAGAGCATCTCTGAGTTCTCACTGAGTGTGAGAGACCTGGGGACGCCCGGGGACCGAGACAGACCTGAGCAAGTGCCCCCTTCCCATGCCGAAAGGTGGCCGCAGGGCCATGCAGAGCAAGGAAAGGGCCCCAGGGGCCCCTGGGACAGCTGTCCTAGGGCCGCATACGGAAGAGGGACAATAAAGCTGTCTTTCTATGGTCTGAACGTTCCTAGACCTTAGACAGTCGTCCCCAGTGTCTGTTAGAAACACGGAGGGCATCAGTCTGCCAATGTACTCCACCCGAACTTCCAGTCACTTGGACGAGGACGCCACACCCCGCCGACATGGGCGACCCTGCAGAGCGAGTGCAGGCTGGGGGCTCCGGCGACCATCGCCGAGGCCTCCCACAGGGTCCATGTGATTGGAATCTTATCAAATTGTCAGTAGTTCTGTTTTAAAAGCTCATGTTTAAAGAATTGAGTTATTAAAGTTCTCTATAAAAAAGTACAAAGAGCCCAGCATACCCAGTTTTCTACTGGAATTAATTTCTTCCTTAAGGTTTAAAAAAAGTCTTTGGAACCTGTGGGCCTTAGTGTAGGGGCATTTTAAGGCTGTTTGATGACTGATCCGACTTAACGGTTGTCAACTGACACTTGATCACACAGCTCAGAGGCCCTCCAAAGAGCCCCTGACATTACAGGATTAACAGAACATGGTTGACGCCATTTCTAGGTGACAGCCTTCATCCATGTATACTTCAGGTAACCTTTCCCAATTTCCTGTGTTTCTAACAAAAGAAGCATACAGCACTCCCTGCATCAGTCCAAATGGGAAGTGGCCGAAATGTTGACAGTCTGCTCTGTCTCCTAAAACGTAACCCAAGCAACTCAAGGAAAACGTTTTTTAAATACTCCCCAACACTCCTTGTCAAACCAGCAGTCACGAATAACCTGAGCGTCCCTTTTCTTTACCAGATCTGTCACGCCTTCGCTGTTCCTGCAGCCCTGTGGGTCCCTGGCTCAGAGTCCAGCTCATGGTCGTGATTATTCGGTGTGCTGGGGGGTGGGGGTCTCCTGCCCTGGCTGGGTTTAAAGAAATAGGAAATGGTGTGAACTGCACACATAAGAAATAGGTGACTTCACAAGACCCAAGTGAGAAAATGCCTGTCAGATGGTGTTGCCTTCCCGAGGCTTTTAAAAACCTGAGACTCTCGCTCCCCTGACCTCCTTCAGTACAGAGAAAACAAATCCCAGCAAAACACCTCTAATTTCTCTTGCTAAGTGGACCCAGGTGGGAACTGCTTTGTTAGCTGTTTCTGTGACTTCCCCATCCGTCCCCGGCTGCCATGGCGCTTGCAACAAGCCCCGGAGGGAAACGCGTGGGGACCTGCTGCCTTCCAGGATGGGTGGATGGTTTGGCTTGGCCACTTTCACGAGGCAGGGGAAGGGGGCTTCCAGCAGGTGGTGAGGAGCTGGCATTTGGGAGGTGTTTTTTGAGGAGGACTAGACCGTGTCCCTGGCAACAAACTCACTCTCCAAGAACGGCAGGCGGTGACTTTTTTCTGCACCAATGACCCCCAGTGGAAAGCCCCTGGAAAAGGCAACAGCGTCCTTCCCAAGATGCCCTCTCCTTCTCCCCTGCCCTGCCTTCTCCTGCCATGAGCCTCCTGCCAGACGCACGCAAACCCTGCTCCTCTCTCAGCTCCTTCCCCACCTCCGCGGACCTCTCGCTTCTCAGAGCATCCACAGGAGCGGCCTGCACCCTCACTCACCAGCAAGTCAGCACTCTCTGCTGAGAACCGTAGCCCAGAGAGGTGCTCAGCGGTCACTTGTTGGCTTGCATTCATCTTGGTCCTTCATAATCTTTCAACAATCTCCAGTGATCTCCAGAGAGCTCTTAACTCTCTGACCTTCTATCAAAATTACTAATAAGAAAGCCTCATAAGAAAAGACAGGCAGGGATTCCGCATTGACTTGTACCAGGTCTATGGGCCACCACCACAGAATTTCACACGTGGTGACGAGCAATCATTTCAGTGCCCAGGGTCTTTTCAGTTCGTTCTTGCCTTGAGTGAACCTGCCATTAACTTCTGAGGGAGGCACTCCAGATCCTTCGATTCTAACCAAACACCTCCTGGCTTTAGATGAGATGCCGAGCAGATGGGCCGCGAGCCTGCCAACCTGCAGCTCAGAGGAAAGTCCCATGGCTGGGCAGCAGCCACCTTCCGGGGGGAAATAATGCAGGGAAATCGGGTGGCCTTTCAGAGTCACCGTGCGATGAGTCTGGTGGACTCGGGTTGTGCGAGATTCTGCCGGGGGCTTGGACTGCCGCAGGCCCTGGCGGCGTGGGCAGCGCCGAGGGCTGAAGCTTCCTAGAGTCCCCCAGTCACCTGACCCTGGGAGGCGTCCTCCTTATCCCAGCCTCCACCAGGGCCCTTCCCTGTGCTTTTATTCCCACGACGCCCAAGGCGTGGGCCAATGCCAGAGAGTTTCCCACGTGCTACGGCTAAGAGCTAGTGAAGGGTCATCCATAAGACTTAGTTTCCCAGCAATAATTCTAGTACACAGCTCTGTACCAAACAGGCTATGTTATGGTAACACTTCCCTGGGCCCAAGTTTTTACTGTTTGTCCTCAGGCCTGCTGTCCCTGGGGCAGAGTGTCGGGCCCACGGGCAGGGGATTTTCTTTGAAAACTTTGTCATACACTTGGAAAGAATACAAGCCAGCTGAGATGTTGAATATGTTTCCTAGAGAGATAGGAACAATTTGGAAATGTGTTGGCTGTTTCCCGGAAAGCCCGAGCCTGCTGCTGGCTTCAGCAGGCAGGCGGCGTGGGGCTCGGGACAGACGGTCCACAGCCCGTGTGCTTTTCTGGGACCCTCCTCCCCTTCGGAGGCTTGGCCGGGGACCTGTTCTGCTGTGGCCGTTCTGGGGCATGGTGACTGGCTCCTTTGTTTCTTAAGCTCTTTCTATAAACTGGTCCCTTTTCTATCAGATCCAATTGAGGCGCACCTAGTGAGGACATGTCCCCAAAACGTGCACTGACCAACGGGACTGCAGGTCTGAATGTGCTAGAGCCCCTCGGGGGTTCTGAAGTCCACAGCCCACCAGAGATGGCAAGGAGCTGCTCTTTTCAGGGCCACCTTGTTCCCTGCCCATCGCTTTCTCCCATCAGGGGCTCCCAGGACGGACAAGCCTCTTGTGTCCAAGCCCCCTCAGAGGTCCGTGAGTTTCAGGCAAACAGCCAGGAACAAATCATGGAGCACTTAGCTGGGAGATGCTTCTGGGGAACGAGGAGAAACAGAGCAGGCCTCTGGAAGGAGTGGAAGCAGCTTCCATCTGGAATGTTCTTTCCATTGTAGAAGACTGGCTTCTCCAAGGACCTGGCGTGGGTGGTGTCTGACCCCAGAGTAGTTCATCCAGCTCGTTCTGGTTGCAGGTGGAAGAAAGTGGGCAGCCTCTGCAAAGAGTCTGCTGAGAGCTCCAGGGACGGCTGTGCCCAGGGGCTGCTGGCGGTCTGTCTCATGCAGTCTGCGTGCGAGGGACAAACGTGCGGGGCCTTCCAGGGGACAGTGTGCGTCTGGCGTGTCCACCACACGCACTATCAGCAAGGGCCCCTCCCTGTCTGCCTCCCCTCTCACTCACAGAAACAAGGCTGAAAGGAAGAAAACCACTACATCCGCCCAGGGGCTGTGCTCCCACCACATCTGCCCAGATTCGTCACACTGGAGTCAAACCCATCCCGCTGTCCCCAAGGGGAAGAGTGGCAGAGGAGCCAGAAGAGAAGATGGCGTTAAGAAGCTGAGAAAGAGAGTCTCATCTTGAAAATAATCCCCTAAAATTTTTGTTTGCAGGTAGAATCAAATATTTATATATATAAAGCCTAATTAATCATGTAAAGTAGCCATTCGTTTTTGAAATTAGATCTACGTTAAAAAATTAATATGTCCAATATGGTGCCAATGCGCAGGGTACACATGGGACTGGGGTAGGGGAGGGAAAGCAGGGCAGTAAAGAATTCAACTAAAACTTAATCAAAGAAGCAGATTAGAAACAAGAGCCTTCACAAATATAGCACAGTTGTGTCTTATAAAATTATTATAATACTCTCCTTATACTTGATACGATTATATCAATAATATAGATTCACTTGCTATTAAGGTTTATTATAAACATGCAAAATTCATTGCATGATGCATTTGCAAAACATATTAAAATTCTTCTTGCAATAAACATCTTTGAGCTGATATGTATCCAAGTTTCCTGATTCTACAGCTCCAGGTGTATCATTCAACATGAACTAAAAGTGGGGACCAAAACCGCATTGTTTTTCATCCCTAAGGGGATGTTGAGGGCCAGAGACGGGAGAAAAATCCATCAGTTGGGACTGATTCTAGAATCAACACTGGAAGTTACTGTACATCGTACTCTCAAAAAACGACACTGCAGCCTATTAAATAAATACGTACAAAAGGGGATGGGCATAGACTTTAGCTTCATAGGAAGTAGGAAGTGGGGTGTGGGGGGGGTTGGCTTACAACACTGGTGAGTAGTGGCATTGCTGATGGCACCCTGGATCACAGAATAATCTCCCAGAGATTAAAACGGACGCGTGCACACACTGCTTTATCCTTGATCTGAAATGATTTCACATGCTCATTTAGCAAAGTCCTTGGAAGATTTGGCCTCTTACAAAGAAATGCAAATATCTAGATAGGTATCAACCAAGCAGGATACAAGAGGACAGATTCACTGAACACTCATCTGAGGTTTTCTTCTTCTCTTTTTTAAAACTGGTGACCACCAGGCCATGATTGGGTTATGACTGTCAATGTCTGGGAACAGTGAGCTTGGAAATGACATCCTGGCCTTTTGATTCTAGGGATGGTTTCCATGGAGGCAGAGACTGGGAGCGGCAGGGAGGCTGAAGCCTCCCCGCCCCCAGTGCTGCCGTGCCCCCCTCTGCTCTCTGGGCTTCCCGTTCCTTCATTCCAAAGGCGCCTGTGTGGAGGTGTGTCCAGCCCACATCTTTGGTGGGGGAGTAGGGTATCCTGATGGTGAAAATCGACAGAGGATATGGGGTATATATCAAATCGTACCAAAAAAGGGGCAAGAGTCTATTTGCTTTCTAGGAAGGGTTAACCTACAGCCAGAGGTGACTTCTACATAATTAAACTGGACACTGCACATTGTATCATCTTCCACTACGATAATGCTCTTGGTTGTTAGAGACCCCAAACAGTCGGTCGCATTTGGACTAACCACCCTACGATTTTCAGGCCTCCGTCTGGAACACGAAACAAGGCTGTGGCCTTAAAATTTGAGGGTTAAGGGTCATTTCCCATTGTTGGGGGGATGGGCAGGGGCGGGGGAGGCGTTTGTTCTTGGTGGTGGGCTTCATACTGCGCTCTGTAAGATGGGGTGCACAAACTGGGGGTTGACATACGAGAACCCTTCAAAATCAGACTGGTCTATGTTAGCAATGACCAGCTGATCAGGAGGTGTTAAGACAGGTTGCCCTCGTGTGAAGAACTTGTCAAAGTTTTCTGCTCCTTTGCCACACTGTGGAAAAAAAAAGAGAGAGAGAGAAAGAGAGGTCAGTAAGTAGCACAAAACACGGGCAGCTGCACTTGAAGAGCGCCCTGAGGGGAGGACCACAGCTCGGGTGTCCGGGTGGTTAGACAGGAAGAATTTAAGGGGTGCTTGCAGGCCTACTGGATTGAAAGCCAGGCACAGCAAACAATGGCGGAGGCTCACTCAGTTAATAGCCCTCAAACACCCGCCCGCCATGAAGGGACTCCTCGGTGGAAATGCACTATTGACAGTAAGGTGACAATGGAACAGCTTTTTGTATTTCCACCTCAGAGCAAGCAGGGCCTGAGTACAGATGCCACATACACGGGGCCATCAGTCACGCTTACTGCCCCACATTGGTCTCTTTGCAACCATATGGGTAATGAAGCAAAAGCTATGTTATGCGTGTCTTCCAACTGGGATGTTCTAAAAACCTCAACCCCTAAGTCCGTTTGTAACCCATGCTGGAGCAGATGGGATGGCAAGGTTGGGATACTCATCACGGGGCTCGGCTGGATGTCAGCTTATCTAGATAGGCCTGGTCAGCCAGTACATGGTCCCCGTGGGGTTCATTTGCAGGGTGGTCTCTGGCTGGAGGTTTGCCAGGGGGCCCGAGGGAGGCAGAGCCAGGCCTGCTGTCCGTCTCGGGTACACCTCTCTTCCGGGTCCACCGCGGCGCTTGGTGCAGATGGGGCTGCTGGCAGAGCTGCCCTGCGAGCAGCTCTGAGAAACACTGCCACTTAAGGCCCATGGCCGGCAGCCTGATCCCCAGGGGCGTCCTCACTTTCCCAGCAACGCAGAAGGGTTGTGGCACGTTGGAGTGCCCAGGATCCCAGGGCGATGCTGAGACAGGGAGTGTTGGAAGGTGCGTGGGTGATAGGAATCATGATACTCCACAGTGTGCGAGTGTTCATCCTTTGACCTGCTGGCACCATAGGGCAACGTGCATTCACTCCAAACCAGGAGCAGTTTCATGCGAACCAGGCACCCCTGGATCTCTAACAGAGGATGGCTCTAGGTAAACAGAAGCGGGGTCAATCCCATTCCCTCATCTGTAAAATGGGAGGAGAGTCAAACCTCCTCCCTGAACTGCTACAAAGGTTAAATGTATGGTGGTACGCACACAACCTAGCTTGTGGCAACAGCGTGGCACACAGGACTGTTATCTTTGTAAGGACATTTAGCCTCGTGGGCCATACGTTCTCACCTTTTCCACATCTCTTCCTCATCTTCTAGAAGGTTTCTCTGAGAATCTGGTTTTGTTTTGCTTTCCCCACCCTCTTATCATGAACAAAACCTGCTCCTGGATACCTGCTGTGGTGGAAGGCATGTCATAGATTCAAAGTCAGGCCTTCCTCATGGATAGCTTTCCTTCCTGGGGTTGTTTTCATTCTTCAGAAGTGACCACATGCTCTTAACAGGAGGAAGGTTCAGACCAGTGATTGGTGGGTGGAAATGAGGGGCGTGTGTGTTGGTAGGGAAGAGGGGGAGGTGAGGGGGGGACTGGGGGTGGGTGGAGGACTGGTCCAGGCCTCTTTGGCCCCTTGATGGGGGCCATGCTAACTGCCAGTCCTGCTCATCACGAGGGTCCTGCCTCCCACATGTGGGCTGGTAGAGGCGGCCCTCAACACTCCCCGTTTCCATGGTGCTTTTCCTCAGAAGAGCACAAAGCGCCTTGGAAACAAAGGTCAGCAGAAGCGGAGTCTGCAATCAGCACCCTCCCACCTGCACAGGTCATTCTGAGCTGTTCAAAGGTACTTAAAGAAGGAGGACACAATGTTTCTTCCAGGAACCGATCATTGATCTGCACTTGATTCGTCAGTTCAACGAACCAACGAACCAACAACCAACGACAGGACCTGCCTTCCACAGGGCACCGCCGTCAGGCACTGCTGTAGCGATGACAGCCAGAGGAGCAGCCCTCCTTTGGACATACCAGCGGTTCTCAACCAGGGGCGATTTTGCAGCCCACTCCCTTCCTTGGGGACATTGGGTGATGTCTGGATTTGTTTTTGGTTGTCATGACTTGGGCAGGGGTGTTACTGGCATCTAGTGGGTAGGGTCCAGGGATGTGGTTTAAACACCCTGCAGTGCACAGGACAGCACCCCGCCCCCCTCCCGCCCTCAACAAGGATTGTTGGTCTAGAATATCAACAGTGCTGTTATTGAGAAACCTGGGATATGCCAAGATGGTAATGCGAGGCTAAGTCAGTCCTGAGGCCAAGCAAGGAAATTAGGCAAGAATGGCCCTCTGGGAGACAGAGAATGGAGAAGCTGCAGAAGCCTAGGATGAAAGTATTGACCAGCAGAAAGCCTTCGAGCCTCGCTTCAAGGGAAACATCCTTTGGGCACGTGATTAATCAACACCCATTCAAGGGAATCTACTGTGGGTGCTCCCAGAGGCTGGGTTACATGCTCCCTCAAGAAGCAATCCTCTGCACTTCTTTTGCTGTTCACTGACCATGCAAAGATGAACAAGAAGGAGCTTCTGGAAAAAGTAGAAAAGAAGGTGAAGTCTCTAAAAGAAAGAGGAAGGCAAGCCAAGGTGAAATGTCCCTCTCCTGGCTGAAGCCACACTCGTCTGGCTCTTGACTTGTGTGAAGAGACCACACAGGCCTGGCCTCCCTTGGAGCATCATCTTGATGGTGTTCATTAATCCTCCTCCAAGGAGTTGTTCCAAAGCCAGGGTTTAACAGCCACGGAAAAGTAAACAAAACAAAACAAAACAAAACAAAAAAAACCAACTAAAAGAAGCGTTCCTAAAATCCCCAGAATGGACCACACAAACGTCTACACTGAGAAGCCTGGAGGCGGGCACAGATGGTTCAGGACATCAAATTCTAACACGGTTGTCCAGAGGGGGTCACTCCTGAGGGCGGCCACAGCCTGCAAAGCCCAGTGCATGAGCCCACCGGGAAAGCCTTCCGCGGGGCCTGCCGCAGGCCACAGGGACGGGGCGCTGAGGAGACCAGGTCAACCTCAGCTCTGCTCTGTGTCACACCCCATGGGGGTGGCACCGTGGGGCTCAAGACTGCTTGCCATGGCAAACCTTTTCCTCTTCTTCCTAGTTCTAAATCGTGTTGGAATTTCCCTGATCCCAAAGAGAGAGAAATCGGATGTTAGCAAATGAAAGCGTGTTGAAACCTGTTCAGTCGGGTGGGGAGACCTGAGGTGGGACGGGATGAGGGCAAAGACTAAGAACTGCGTCTGTGGCCATAACTCAGAGGCACTGGGAGGAAGCCACGAAGGAGAGGGAGGCGGAGCCTGAGGATGAGTGGAGATTCAGGACGCAGAAGGAATTGTTATGCTTGGGGAAATCACAACAGAAAGAAGTCGCTTTTCCCCCACAAGGGGCAGGGGTGGGGGAACAGCTATTTTTATCCGAGATTCAGTACTAGGAGCAGCAGTGCTAATTTTTCCACCATGGAGGGTCTCTTAGTGCCTGAAAGATGAGCCCTCCACAGCTCTTAGTGCAATTAGGCTTAGAAACAGATGCTTTCCTTTAAGTCAAATTGGAGAAGACCTTGAACTACTTGTTTTTCTAGACATGGGGAACTGCAACTTGTCTCGTATCCACCACTACCTACTGAAAAGGGTCATTTAAGTCAGTGTTCTTTGGATCCTTGGGGAAATGCCAAACAATGGCTTCACTAAGCTACTGCATTTTTAAGGTAGAAAGGATTCTTCCTACCACCTGTGAGCCAACTGTACTCATAACCATCAGCCTGTGGGCAAAGGGCCCAGGCGCCGTCTGGATCTGAGAGGGAGAAAGAGGAGGTACAGACACTGAAGGGTTCGGGGGCCTCTCGCTGTGCCTGGGACGTATGAATGAGCGTGTCAATGAGTGATGGCGTGCGTGAAAAATACAGCCGGCCAGGCTGCAGACATCCTCCCGACATTCCTCAGGGACCACGTCGGGGGGTTACTGCCACGGCCGCTGGCAGGGCGGCCTCCACCACAGTCCGTGACAACAACAGGCAGGGGTGGGTTGCCCTTGGTCTTGGAGCGCTAGGCTGCCTGACGACACACAGGAACTAAAGGCAACGTGTGCCACTTGCGAGCAAACCTCCGCGGCTGCTGCACTGTCTTCAGCAATAAAGACCACCTGTCCCTTTCACCACCTGAGGTTCTGACACCTGGGACGGGACGCATCACATAACTGATGTGGGACAAAGACAGGGCGAAGGGGGGGCAGGAAGTGGCCCAAACCTGCTCCACTGGTACCCCTGGAGATCAGACCACGTCTGCATTGGCGGGGCCACGCCTGACACCCAAGGGAGGACGGGACGTGCAGCTGGGTGAAGGGCCCGACCAGAGTTCAAAAGCCCAGGGTATAGCACTGGGCAACTCACAGGCAAGGTGTCTTTGAAAAGGTAAGATGAGGATGTGAATATCCACCTTCCGAGCCTGTTGTGAGGATCAAAGGAACCAACGTGTGTGCCACTCTCCCTAAATGATCAGGCGTGACACCGACCTATGGCAGGCGCCTGGCACGTAAAAGGTGTGTGATCACTACGTGAGGCGTGAATGAACACCATGAACATCTACCTCCTTTCCTTAGCTCTGGAGTCAGGACTTAACTCTTTTTTACCCATTTGGTAAAAATCATCAGTAAAGTGAACCCAGGAGATATCAGCCGTGGTAAAGATGTGACAAAGCGTAGAAGAATGCTGACTCTGGGTGGCATTTGGGGTTGCAGTGCTCCCCACCCGTGCGGCGCACGGTCCGCTCACGACACTTTGCATCCTGTGTGACAGGCCGTGGAGAGGAGGGGGGCCTGAGCCACAGAGGCCGCTCCCCAGCTCTGATTCTTACCTGCGGGGGGCCACCGAGCGTGACGCACACATGGGTCGGTCTCGGCCCTGCCCTGCACCCTGGCGCCTCAGCCGTGGAGAGTACAACCCCGCAGTGACTGGCCCGGGATTAGGGGAGTGCGAGTAGCACGAAGACACCGCCATTACAAAGCAAATCCACACAAACCTGGAAGA